TGAAGAGGGAGGGAACCTGTGCAAGCAGAATTTTCGTTTTAATCTAAACGCACGTCGTGGGATTCCCCCCAACGTATCCCTTGCAAGCTCTATCTATCTAATTAGGATATTCCGTTGGAAGTCGATGAATAGAGGTTGGTGACTCCTTCACGTGTTCCTCAACAAAGAGAAGTGTTGATGATTTTGTCACCGTGTTTGCTTCTACACTAAATATGCCATCTCATTCGGTGGAGAAGAAAGAGGTGATCGCAAAGAACTCAACAATTATGCATCCAGGAACGTGCAGTACATCACTTCACTACTGAGAATCAAGATCTAAAGCATACTGAGTATTAATTGTATCAGCAAATAGTAGTGCGGCGAACAAACTCGACTTGCCTTGCCATCAAATCCTCACTACTATCCACCGCCTAAGTTGCAGGACGGCTCAGGCCTCCTACCAAGCGGCATTTTAGCTCAGTTGTGTTTATCGAAACTGGCATCCTCTCTCAAGCCACTGATCGGTATATTCTTACAAACTTATCGCCTTGGTGATGGCAAACTTCTCCAAAAATAGGAACATGAAAGCAACTTCTAGTGATGTTCAGTTGCTGCCAAAAGAAACAAACAAGTAGGTAGCATACAATCATTTACAAAACCGAATGAACGCCATATTTGGAAAGGAAAATTATTTATGAAAGATAGGAATTATTTTCATTCTGCTTTTGTCTACAAGTCCTGCGTATCCGTTTGAAGCTGGTAGAGATATGAAATTGTTTGATAACTCAGTCAGTGATCAGGAAGTGACGAAAGTATTTTATTGTACTTTTTGACCAAGTTGTAGTTAACAACACTACTACAGTTGTGTGAAATCATTTACAAGATTAAAAGAGAAAAAAATGGCGTTTGGCTTGATGTCTAACAAAAGCCATACCTCACGCATCTTACTCCACACAAAAAAGTCAGCAAGATGGCTTTCAACTCCCGCATCGGGGGTAAATTATTCATTCTTGGATTCAAACTCTACACAAAGACGGTTAAGCATGGGATTTTCGTCAATAGTGTGACCGACATTGGCTAAAAAGAACAGCACATATAACGAAGAAGCAATATGCATATTTAGGAAATTCAGCAACTGTTCCGACGAGGAAAAGTATTCCTGTAGTAATTTATGAGTGGGAACGCTAACTTCAACCGAATATAAGAAATAATGCTGGTTTACTTTATGCAGTCAAACTAACCGATTATCTGGAAATACGATTTTAGAGACATCCTATCATGGTAGGGGAATTTTGATCAGATAACTAGAAGAGCTTTGCAGAACGATCTGTAAAAGCTAGAAGCGGGTATTTCGACTGTTAAAACGCACTTCTCAGTTAGCGTGAAGGCACCAGTGGTGGCAAAGGAGTCGCGAACCAAGAAAGCGCCGTCGGGTCGTTCGCGCATGACTTCGCTCACTTCGGAGCGTGAAACATCGCCCCAGTACCAGTCGCGTGTGGCAAGATCGTGCCGATTACGCTCAACAGATTGTGCTGTCGGTGGGGCCCACTGCGAGGCTGCCTCTGTTCCCTCTGCTGCAGACGAAGGTGCTACTGAACGAATCGACCCACCACCGGATTGGGCCAATAGTTCAGCGTAGCATTCATAGCCTATTAGAAAGTAGAGTGTGTTTGACTACTTATTCCACAATGTTGGATTGAGTAGATCTATTCGCTGGATAAATATGTTCAACTGATGATGCACCTCGGTTATAAGTGGTTCCACCATAGCCCGTAGCAGCATCGATTTATTAGTCAAATAAGCTAATTGATTGACATCGCTGTTTGAATGCCGGAGGGTATTACTTAGGCATCGCACATTCAGTTTCATCACTACCCGTAAAAACATTGACCATATCTACCCCTTAAATTTTAGTTTGGATAATGCCAAGTGAACCGCTTCACTCGTAGTCACCGTATAAATTAGTCGGTGAAAGTAGCTATTTGAAGAAGAAAAGTTAATCCAGTCTATTTAATATTTTAGACCACTACCTATAAGAAACTGAGAATGCTACTCATGCGTTCTATTAGAAGCTTTGTCGCCGCGTCACAAATGCCATGAAACTGGCGTGAAACAAACCATTTTGATAGAGTGGATTCACTTATTTGCATTAAAAAACGCGCATAATTCTACTTCTACTATCTTATTAATCCATGAAACAGATTTCTCATAACGCATCATATCGGCAAGCATCCAGTGTTTATGTTGCTTTATAACAGCCTCGGAAATGGCAGATACTAGAGCAGGAAAAATAAAAATAAAGAATGCTCCTTCATTTAAGCTTTGGAATGTCTAAACAACTGCCATAATGATCCAGCCTCTAAATAGGCTTGATTAGCCAGCTTGTGAAAGAAAATGAACAGCTAATTAAGAGCAGACAGTCCGGAAAAAGGCAATGCATCATCAAGAGCCCATGGAGAGCGCAGGCCAATCTGAATCTTCTGACCGTAGTGAAACCAGGGAAATGATGACCTACCTGTAACCATTAGAAGCAGTGAGACTTAAGCTATCAAGCAGGAAAGATATTGGGTAAATCAGAAATTACAGAGTGAAAGGCTACATTTTGGAATTGGCTTTGAAAAATAAAGTATCAGAAAGCTACCGCTTCAGCATAACAAACACACCTATTCACCGTGGATGAGACAGCATATTTCAACGATATATTACTCAAAAAGGAAACGACCACCAATCAATCTCGAGTTTCCTATTTATTGAAGCAATTACAGTAGCAAACGCTTTTGGCAAAACGAGAGAGGAGTCAAAATTCGCAGATGTTTTCCCAACCCTCTGTGGCTATCCAAACTAAACATCAAAACAAGTGCTAATGCATTAAGGGTGACGCACAAATTACTAAGTACACTTCCTACTGTACCTAATAGTTTTGACATAGCAAATCAGCTACTTAAAAACAGCTTCGTTTTCTTTCTTCAAAGCACTTGCAGCGCAAAGCTCCACCAACTTTTAAGTCGGAAAAGGAAGAATCGACCAGTAGAAAGCTGTCTTGGTACCAAACAAGCGCCAACTTTTTGCGGATATAAATGTTCAGAGCTGGATTTTGTTTACCATTGCCACCTATAAACTTGTTTCCAGTAGAAGGTCACCACACGAAATGTTACGCATCGATGAAGTGTTTCACGAGCCAAACGCACGTTAACAGAAGTGACAGCTGAGTTTGGAGGTTGGAAGTGGTGTCACCAAGGCTGGGAGAATCTGTGACAGGCGTACATACAAGCACTTTTGAAAGAGCGATGTTATTCATGTGCCTATGTGCTGAGTGATTGAGCATCCCATCGCCATACTATACTGCACCTCAAGTTTCCTGGAGGCATATATGTCCGCAAGCTTTATGCCTTGGCTCCCGAGAGACCTCATACTTCACACTTACTAACGCAAATATGGCTACCGCAGTCACACACATTTGTGTGAAGGAAAGTGAATATCCCCGTTCGATTTGAACCGCCGTATAATTTGTAAATACATCTCTCTTCGATGCCGCCGTACTTTTTATTCATAAGCTCCACACAAAAAATACCCGACTTCATTTTAGACCTTTCTCCTGAATTTTCGTGAACAAAAAGAACAAATTCAGCTGCAAATTCTGGATAAAAATAAGCAGCGCAACCTATACAAGTTTCGGGAGAAGTAGCCTAGCAAGACATAAAACTTTGGTCAGCAATAATAAAGGGGCTTAATTCGCTTAAACAAAAGCATTAAAACCATTTTAAAGAGGTCATATTTAGTGATCGTAATCAAGTGGGGAAAAGTTATAAGTTTCAAGTTTTAACAGTCGTTTTCAACCAGTTAGAAGAAAGAGCGAATCGGAGAAACAGTAGAATTTACAACCAACTCGACAACACTGCTCTGCAGCCGTAAAAATCAACGATTCTGAAATGTGCCAGGCGGTTAGCGCTTACCGTGTAGCAGCTTAGCAAATAATCACTTGACAATTAAATCAGTAATGATGTAAAGCTCCTCGCTTTTAAACGGATCGGGTGAAGGTTGGAACCTACAAAACGCACCAACCAAGTACCGATCATCTGTTGCTATTATGATGGCAATGCTAGAGGATACAGCTCTTCCGGCTTGAATAGATCCGGGAAAAAAATAAAACTTGTAAGCAAATGACGATACTGAACGGACTAACTTCTTTGAAGAATGGAGGTAAGGACAAAACTCATACAACACACGAGACGAGGGTTGGCGCCTGTACAAAACAAATGCTTTATTGGCCTAGTACAGCACCAACTGTTACTTCACTAAACTGTTGTTCAAAGAAATAAATAGCATAAATATCCTTAAGCCACGAAGGCCTTGCAGCTACTTTGTAGCTTCAAGTCCTACAAATTAATAAAATTAGTTGGCGTTACGTTGATAGAGGAAGTGGCACACATTTGTGGTGCCGGGCTCAGGCAAGAAAATCGGGGAGCTAAACACACGCCAGAACAAACTCACTTTTAACCGACCGCGCCGATCGACTATGAGTTCGGCCGCCAAAATCAGTAGCTCCAGGCGTTCGATTGAAGTGTTCAAAGAGGCGCTTTAGTGCCTTCAGACGTCGAAAGTCACCATCAGGTGAGGTGAGAAGCACCACGCGACGCCAGGTGGGTCGCATGAGGACATGAGCGAGGATGGAGAGGATGAGACTGGGGTCGTCGAGATTATCGATAGTGCTACTCGTGGTTGCGGAACTAGCAACACATGGCTGCCGAAGTTGACCAACGGAGAGACGAACCTTGAGGAGACGTTGGTGGCAGAGGATAAAGCCGACGTGTTGCATTACATGCCGAAGGGTGGCGAGGTTACGAGGAGGTAGGGAGGATAGAAATTCTTCCAGACCAGCTGAAGAGTAAGCAGAAGATGCAACCAAGAAATATCGCTAATGTATAGGTTCAGGCTAAGTAGTGCATTCTTAATCCATTTTCTTAAGTGGATGGAGAAGGTCTGAATGATAGACAGGAGGATGCTTCTCCTGAATGGATCTGAGAGGTGTGATGTAATGTTGGCTGTGGGAAATAAGGATTAATCCAAATCAAAGAACTCAACAGATAGGACGCAGGTTACGGAATTACTCTCGTGAAAGAAGCTTTAGTGCAGCTTGTAGAACTTCATTCTTAAGTGAATCAAAACGGTAGGAAATTAACAGTGGGGATAAAATTAACTACAAGCCCTACTGAAAGAAGAATAGTAGAAGGCGAGTCTGAAGGAGAGACGTCAGCTCATCGTACCAGGGAAGTCTAAATCAAGCCAACTAATGAGCTACGACTGAGATCTACCAACCCAATAAAATATAAGATGTTTTAGGACAGATGCATGTCCAGAAACAGCTAGGACTAGACAATTAGTTGGGGAAAGGGCTATTCTTCTAAGACAACAACGCAAGATCTCATACCTCATACCGCCGTCATACTTACGAGAGGACCTCATACTGTATCTTAGGAATCAAAGGAAATACCGCCATATTTCACATGAGAAATGCCAACCTTTTCTGTCATTAGCAAAAAATACCGAAAAGTGAGATGGTCCTAGAGACATTTTCATAAGACCGATCTACTCTAGTTAGGCGGGGGATACAGGCTGCAGCGTTGAGCACACAGACACTACGATGTCTCGTTTTGTATAACAAAAAACGAAAGTAGCCTATTAAGTTACCCTCACTCTGGTAACATCGGATATTTTTAGACCAATTAACAGGATAGGGGTAATTGCTTGCACTTCGCTCCTGCAGAAATGAACCAGAAAGTAGGAGGGATGAATTTGTCATTTCGGGAAGAGAGGCTAAACTAGTAGTGATTAGCCTATTTCCAACAGATTAGCAATTTTCAGAGATTTGCAAAACACAGAAGGAGCACTTTTCCAACATGCGTATATGAGCGAGTTTACGGTATTATTGAACCTGTATTAAATAGTGGGTAAACGATCCGCGATTAACTCTGGCTAGGTGGTTGCGCTAGAGTTGAAGACATACCGACAAAATTGAAAGGAAAGAAAACGGACATAATAACAAAGCTGGGAATGCTCACGAATCCAATAACAACGTTCTTGTGCAACTTTGTACGTTTTGCTTCAATGCCTATTTTCGCAAACATCTCAAAAGCTATCTCTCGCTTAGGCCATCGTGAATGATTTAAGTCACGATAGCTGCATTTTGAATGCTCAAATAACCATTCAAAATCCAAGGTCATGACTGGCCGAACGAATGACTCAAATGTAGACAAAGACTCAAACTCAGACCCACACCAATGGCCAGTCTTCAGCATTATTCAAGACCCAAATGTCAGAGCTCCACACCCAAATCGTAACGCAGTGCTTACACACCCACACACACGTCAGCCAATAAAGACATCTGCCCTGATGTCTTTATCCATCGCTTATCCGATTGGGGGTCCAATGGGATCCAAGGGCCACGGAAATAGAAAATTCAGGTTGTTGAAGTTGATAATATGGGTTATAAAAGTACTAGCACCATTAACAATTGATGCGACCTAATTAACTTCTATTAACGGATCTATTCACACTCACAGTTATCACCGGAAGTGGCGGATGCACTGCTGCTATTGTTGCCAGGTGCCAAATCCAGGGTTCCTTGGTACATTTCTGCGGGAATCACAGGCTCGGGGAGTAGTTTGAGAAAGTGTTTGATAATCTGCGCTAGTCGAACCAATCGATGCAACGTTGAAACCGACGTCATCTTTTCCAGATCAGTGGGTAGACGATCGGCGTAGGCACACTCAAGGTCGTAGAGCTCCCGACCGGTCGCGGAGGATCGGTACACATCCACGCAGTTTATCATCGGCAAAGCAGAAGTGAATGAGGTGGATGAAGGTAGGAACTGCTGTGAAGGACGCTGCTTTGTTGTCTCCTGCGCGTTGTAAGTCGCCAGTTGCTCAAAAATGCGAGTGGCGGTAGAGAGAAAGATTGGTACTTCGTCAGCGTCAGTAATCTAAGGAAAATCATGCATGAATAGGCTCCAGCCCTTCTGACAATAGCATGTTTGATGATTAATTGACTTCAATGAAACAAAATATTGGAGGCTGGAAGACTCCAATGCAAAAGACACTCAAACGCATGAAAATTATAGGAGAGTGACTATGAAAACGGCATATGAACGCGTAAAAAAAACCTCATTTGGATTAGATTTTGCTACAGAAGAGTTGCAGAAGTAGGAAATTGTGAGTGAATATACTTTATGAAAGAAAAAAACGAATAAAAGTGGAGTCTCATCATAGAAGAGGTCATTTGAAGCGGGGATTGAAAGGGGCGATGAGAGGAACTGGAAATAAGTCTCCAAAACCACCAAGTAAACGTGTTGAGAAATTATTGGAAAGCCAGTAGGGGTTGACAAAGACTGAGTTGTTATAAGAAGCCTTCTCGTGTGTGAATTGATGCACGCGGGAAAGTCTGTAGTGAACAAGCATTCAAATAAGAAGGGGAACAAAACAGTACTTGAAGTTCTGTTAAGTAACGCCTAGAAGCATTCGCTTTACAAAGGTACAATAGCTTGCTAATTCCAATTTCATCAAACGTTTTGCGTCTAAAATTAAAAACCCTAGCAATCTCGTGGCCAGTGAGTAAATCGGCTTGGACGACCAATGATACATTCGCTTACCTAAGGAACGTTGGAATACAAAGTCATTCCGCATCACAGTTGAGTCTTTCAGCAGTCTGAAAGGTACGCCGCATGTTGATGAGGTACGTGAAAGGCGCGATGAACAGAGGTAGCTGTTGAAGTCCACCGTCATCCGTTTTTAATGCATGCGGTACTCATTTACTTCTCCCTCCACTCAGTGTAGGCGAAAACAAACTGTTCCATCACTCGCGTTAAAAACGGCTGGAAGTTGAGCTTGACACCTCTATCTTGAATTGCTTTCACCCACAGGAACAAGTAGTTCCTCATAGTAAGAAAAAAAGGATTTTCCAGAGTCGCATCGCCTATTTAAACTATTGCTAGAGTGGCCAAATATTCCACAGCTGTACTGTACCGTGAGAATAAATTATTCGCAAATTGTGTCCCGTCATTCGCAATAAATTTCCTCAATGTATGACGCCGCCGTTCATCTTGGTCAACAGTGTCTGAGCAAGCCCACAAAAAAACTGTTGGCCATTAGTAGTAGGATACACATGGTCCTGCATGTAGTGTTGCATCGGCAGCACCCTTTTGTCATACACGTAAAATCAAGTCACCCTTTTGGCTTGAGCGACCTCATGGCAAAAGCAAAAGTGGTCACTTGTGAAAAACATCTAACATCCAAAGTTGGCTTTCAAGCACTCCTTTCGAACGCAAATTATCGAAAAAGACGATGACAAATAAATCTTCCAGGTAGTAATCGCAGAGAGCAACAAAGATGGTGCTCAAATCTAACGCTATTTGAAAAAAGAAGTGAAAACTCACCTGTTTATCCAGTGGGACGGTTAAATAGGTATGCTTTATGACCGGTGCCGCAACAGGCAGTTTACCACCGCTTTGGCCCAAGTCTAAATCCGGGGGAGGTGAATCAAAACTGGTTTGTGACGAGGCCAGTGTCTCTATCAACAACCGACCCGGACAGGCTGGATGTTCCTCAGTGAAGATGCGACAAATGCGATGAAAGACACTACCGCAGGTGCTGCACTGATAGCCCTGAGAGGTTAGCCCTACAGAAATGGAAGTGGGGCAAGATATGGTTCGATTCCTAAATTGCTTTATTCATAATTCGAGTACGTAGCCTATACTATTTCCGCGGGTACTACCGTCTTCATTCCATTTTCTACACATGCCCGTACCCCCAACCCTTCTATCCGCAACCGGGGTCTCCAACGTAGCTTGACCATCACGGCCCAGAGGAGGAAAGTGAGGAAAGGATTATTAATTACGTCTGTTTCTTTTGTTCTAAGCTCAGCTAGTCTGCTTGCGGTATTATCTAATGCAATCGGTTATCAAAAACTGGAAAAAAGGAATTGGACGATATATGTAAAATACTCAAATACTCGGCTCAATAAGCTAATAACCAAATCAGATGGGAGAGGAGCATTAAAACAAAAAGCGATGGCAAGAAAGAAATATTAAAGTAGCTTAAAGAAGCCATCTCATGTATCTTATTAAATGGCCCTGCTTCTAAACAACTGTTCCAACAAATAGCGATTGGTCAGTGAAAAGCAATAAGTGCAGAGCACCATCCAGCAGTCAACAAATAAATCAAAATACTGGATCTTTCGAGGTCGATAAGACACACCAATGGCATTAAAATCAAGTGTTTTCCTTATGGAAAGAATTAACGTATGATCTGGACATCTGCATCGTAAGTGGTTTCAAAGGCATCGACTACATTGTGATAGCCGAGGCGGGAGAGTGGAGATTTAAAAAAGGAGACTATGTAGTAGAAGGATACTCGCTTTGAATGAAAATCAACGGTGCCAATTCTGCCTACGTCTCGCTGTCACGACTTTGCCTATGTCTGTGGCTTCAGATATGACTCGAGATATAGAGATTAAGGTGTACTAGTGTGATTGACAAACATTCAGGTTAGAGTGGAAACATAAGTATTTTTGTCCTGGCAGACGTATGAAACAAAAAACTTCCACATTTAAATCGGATGGTAAATAGATACGAGTAAACCATCGTTGGACGAATGACAAAGTTGTGTGTTCAGCAATTCAAAGGGAGGAAAAATCGTGTGTGCGAATAAAACATGCCGATTTTTCGGATGACACTACAATCTAAATTCGTCACAACCTAACTCACCTAAAAGTGGGAGACTGCAAACGCAGCACGCCAATTCACAGGTAAAGTTCTGCAAATGCAGATCAGCATGCGGTGTGACGGAAGAGTCCTTGGAAGAGGCAAACTTCCTATCAGCCGGTGAGGGCAATTCTCCAATGAGGGTCTAAATGATTATTGAGAAGCATAAAATTGCACCTACCCAAATTATGTAAGCAGCGACACTTACCATGATAGCGCGTTTCAGGACGCGGCGCGCAAAAGCGTCTTTGATGTCGTCCAGTGGACTAAGAGGTTTCAACAAACCTGGCAGTTTCTCGCCATTGATGTTGTAGGCGAGGAAGAGGACGGCGTAGCGTGAGAAGCCCACTACGACCAGCCACTGGAGAACTTGCTCCACTGACCAGTTAGCAAGAGGCTAATGGTAGGAAAATGGGTACAGGATACCGCTGATATGTCGTAGTCAAATAACCAGATTTTCAATTAACTTATCACATCAAAATCTCGTTAAAACATAGGCAGTCGGCAAAGTAGAATAAGGAAAACGACAAACAAAACCCAAATAGCAAACAAGTTTCCCAAAATGGTCCTCTCCCAACAGGAATCGAATGTAGAGTTCATATATTCGCTTTAAGTTGAAAAACTAAGGATCTAACCTGATCAGAGAGAGTCACGGCTGCGGAGGTATCGGTATCGCTCACAACAACTTCGCTATTTCCTGAAGACACGGAGCCAGAAGCAGAGGGAGTGGATAAAGATCCCTGGCATCTTGCCGCCCTGCCAATGCAAACGGCGTGGAGCAGACACCCACATGTGATGCATTGTCGGGCTGTGCATCGCGGAGTTATGATGTAGTCTTCACAGACCTGACACAGCCTTGGATACGCTACCGAAACACGAACCAAATTATGGACAGGCTCCGAGCCTTGTTTCATTACGGTTTCATAATCTAAACAGGATGAAAACGGTCTGACATTAAAGTACCTAGGAAATGACAACGAATAGGGAGAGAAAGAGAGCCAAACTACGCCGCTTTATTTGTTTCTAATTTGTTTGCAAACTAACGCAGTGTCAAAGATCTACAAGAATTTTTCCAATTCCTCCTCCTCCTCTCGCCATTTCTTGTTCATGTAGCGGTGGTTCAGTGAGATGTAGGCGTTGGGAACACAACCACGGCAACGGCCAACGCTTTGATTGGCGAATTGTGGCCTCAATATCTCACAAAATTTGCCTATTGCGGAGAGGGCTGCGAAGCAAAGTACCATGTTCATCTGACTAGCTAAAGGTGCTGAAATAAAAAGCACAGTTGATTGATTGACACCAAGGTGACACAATAAACAGACACAGTTAGATTACCCTTATAACGAACAAGGAAACCAGCAGCAGCACCTCCAATTGCATGGTTGAACGGACTATGTTCTTTGTTCAGGAGTTTTGCACTGGCATAACTAGCAACGGCGTGTGCAACGCCAGCAGATACTATTACGAAAATAAGTCCCAAAAACAAAATTTACGTCCAAGAGCCAGAATACGGACTGCCTTAATACCGCTTCCATAAACATTACGCCCGGTCAACAGTGCGGGCAGGTAAGCGAGACCCGCATTAAAGGAGCCTAATAACAATGACCAAACACCCCAGATTTGGTTTACCAATGTAGTAGCCAGTAAATGCGGCCATCTTGATGCGATAAAACAGGTGCTCATTGTCCTTGGTGTTTGCGTAGTTATAAATATAGTTTGGCATACCGAAAAACAGACGAGAAAACCGCCAAGTAGAGGTCAGAGGGAATAAACGGGCGGAACCACAATCAAAAGGCCAACTAAATTAAAAATGGTTAGAATAATGGTTAGAATAATCCATATAGTACCAACAACAAAGCAAAAATAGCAAAGCAGTGTGATGACTATCATTGAGTCGAAAATAATTACATTGTTATACAGCCTTGTGCGGACAGTGTGAATCTGCCAAAAAAATTCCAAAATAGAAAAAATTGAGCAAACTAAAAAGTTTGCTTGTGTGTTTTTGCACCGCACTAAGCACTTAAGTGAGGTTTGCCACTAAAACAAACTTAGGCCTATACCTAGACAAATGCAGTTTTAAATATGCTTACAGGTTTAAATTGTGAGCAGCTGAAGCAAATCATGACAGACACCTTCTTCTGCCTTTTTATGTCAAAGGCAAAATAATGTTTATAGTTTTCCATTGTTTTAAATTAAAAAAGATAATATTACTTGTGTAAAATTTATAATACGGCACTTTTGCTTGCGCACTTAAAAGTTATTTTGCAGTTTTTGTTTTAATTTGCATTAATTAAAGCAGCTTGTTAAAATACGCTGGTTTTTGGTTGGTGTACAGGGCCCTCTCTGTGCGTCAGCAACTTTTAATGATGGTAGAAAAAGGACAAGCAATTCATTACACCTAACCCAATCCGTTTTTTTAATGGGTGGACTCTAGTGTTTTTGAAGACTGCGGCTAGCGCCGCAATACTACGTTTCATTTTGCTCATTCTCTATTTTGCAAAGGGTGACCAACATGTTTTTTAATTATTTTGGGCCTATTTTCGGACGGAAATTTCCAGGAAACGGTTTGCTGAGTTATTTCTTGTAATGCTGCCTTGCATCGGAAAACTGTGCCTCGAATCCTTTGCTATTCTCGATGGTCAAGACAGACATGTTGTTCTGGCTCCTGATCTCCCTACATGGGATGACAATCAGCCTCCGCAATACCGCAAATCTCATAGACATCCCTACCGTCTTCGTCGTCTCCCTGACACTAACCCCTTTCCAGTACGTAAACAAATATGCTGCCAAACCTCACCATCCATCTCAGGTCGAGTTGCAAGTAGGACGTGGACTACCACAAATTCACGTCGACTTATCTCATCCCGTGCCATCCATCGTCCTGTCAGGGGAAGTCTCGGCGCCTGTTCGGGCAGCGACGTGGCGCATTCACTGGCCCGAAATTTGTCGCGGCACCTGCGCCTGTGTCGGCGTGTCGATCCATCCAAATACCCCAGGTTCGCCAGTTGATCGCCTGCTCTACTGCGATCTCGCGCACTGCTTGCTCAGTGAGGCGGATGCTCGGGCTTATGGTAATTAGCTTCCCTTTCGGACTCTCACTCGTACGAGGGTGTTTTCAACTACCTAACACGTTCCTTACCAACGTCTCGCTGTAATGACTGTTATTTTAGCCAACAGAATGTTTTAAATAGCTTTATTTAGTTATTTGGTTCTTTATCGCGAAAGTCCTGCTCGAATTTTCTTAGTATCCCTGTAGGCTTTTGTTTTAACTACATTTTTGTGTGCTCGACTGTTATAGAATCATTGACAGGCATTCTAGACTAATGGTTTCGTAATTAAGCAGCATATTACTGCCGTAGATTTTGTTTACACGTACCGAGTCTCACAGCGTTCCTAGTCAACAGAGCAATCGTAGTTTAGGGGGATTTTAACCTGCGCATGCCAGTAATTGAGCATCGTCGTCTCACGAAAAAACATTTATCATTACTGCCTCACACTCCTCAGCTCACAAACGCACCCATCTGCTGATGTCAATGATTCAGTGGCCTTTTCAGTTTGGAGATATTGGTGGTACTCAAGTGTTTCAACTTACTAGTATCAGTCATTAACTGGGCGTCTTTCTTACAGTCGTCGGTCTGCCAGCTGCTGACTTTACAATGACTCTGGCAGTTCGTTGGACCGGTCGCCGCCTTCTTGAAGCCTTGCTAACCTACCACTTCGCTGACCTGCCGCCGAGTGCAGCGCGTACGCTCCGTCGAGAGGTCTGGTTGGAGCGACGGGATGCTCCCAGTCTGACTCTTTCTCCCTTCATCTCCACTGCTTGGGGATTCGCTGAGGTCGATATGCGGTTTGTAGGTTTCCTGAGGCACGGTAGGTGGTCCCTGTCATTGCTAGGTCCACTTCAAACTCAATTTGCATCGTTGGGAAGATACAGATGAAGAACCCGGGTCATTCCTAAAGACGTAGTAAGGCATTTCATTGTAAAAGAATATTTTGTTATTAACGTAAAGAAGGGCTCGGGGACTGAGTATGAACGAGAGACCATGATGCTAAGATGGTAATGACTGAATATGCACTTTGACTAAGCTTAAATCTCTACGTTGCCTCTTCTTATAAACCCCGTCTTTGGCACTCTCAGTCACTCTCATCTCATTGGTCTTCACAACTCAGTCGATGCTTTAACAGAAAGAAACGACTGCCCACAAGGCATTTAATCCTAGTACCGATTTTTGTGGATCGGTAACCTTTTCTTCTCTGGACTACGTTTCGGGTGTGATTTTGTTGAGCTGGGAGCTTAAGTAGTTGAAATAAAGGAATAGGAATGTCTACTGTGTGCTTACTTTTTATTCTTCTTTTTCGAAAGACGTCCTTGAGCTTAAGACCCTCTGCCGGTGGCGAGTTTTGCAGCAACTTATGACCGTAATCCAATCGAGCAAGGAGCGTAAGTGTCTCCCTTCCCTGATTCGGTGAATAGTAACTAGTGGTAAATAAGGGATTAGTTTCAAGTACCGTTAGCGTGGCAGTGCTATTGGATATTTTTCCGGGTAGTAAATCGTTTACTTTTTTCATTAAAATTAGCATACTGCTTTTGTTGTTGATCATATTAGTCTGGTGTCCAGCAGGTATGCAATGGTACGCGTTTTTTAAAGAATCTTTTTCGTAAATGCTTTGCTGGTTAGTAAGTAAAACAGGTGTGTTTTTTACTCGCGTTTTTAACATCTGGAATTTTAAATAAGTTGCATTCTTTTTCCTCATCGTTCAGGTGGTGAATTTGATGTTTGGTCAAACATAGAACAACGTGTTAAAGAGCTCCAATTCCCGAAGACTATTCAAAATCAACTTTATCTGTCTAAGTATGTAATCTCTGGTTCTACTTCCTTGCTCCATTTGTTTACCTTCCTTTTCTACCCACCTTTTATAAGCGCTTTAAATTGAGACTTTTCAGTTTTAGAAGGATCTATGGAGACTTATCAGGAAACGCATAATGCGTTGAGGAGGACTTCTCTGTCGACAACTGTAATTTTCCAGGCTGAAGCATTGCATGCCTACCTCATTAATTGGATTCGTTTGAGAGCAATATGTGGATGAAAGCAGATTTCTTTATTAGACAAATCGACGTGTCTTACTGCTTGTAATTACCTCGTTGTGTGTGTTGCTGAGAACACCACGGATGTGCCTTTATGAACTTGGGTTTTTCGGGCCTTCTTCCCGTGGGGATGTTCAAGCGCATTGTTTGGGGGTTTGTCCCCTTGGTGGGTGCGTCCTGTGGAGTAGGTCTTGTTTCGCGCTTGGTCCGTGCATGAACAACGCGACGGTCAGTGTGTATCAACCACTGAGGTGTGGGGACTCGTTAAGACATTTCTTGGCTGGACCTGTGCCCGCTAAGATTCGGCTTAATGTGGTACGCTTATGAATCGACGCTTTGGATGGTGCGGGGAGCTGCCGTCTCATCCACCGCTCGCATTTGAAGCCTTTACAAGGAACGAGCCGCTGTTTTCTGTCCTTATAAGATACGGCTTGAGGATACGTTATAGTAGTCAAAAATTGGTGGTTGAAGCACTCGTAAGATCTGGGGTGGCTTATCGCAAGAATAAAATACGGGGAGGGAGAGTGCAAGCATTTAGGGACATGCAATTGTAAAAAGGTATTAGGATCGTATTTGTGACTAGTTGCTGTCGGGTGGAAAAAAAGTATCTTAGGAATAATCAGCTTCTTAAAGAGAGTAAACCTGAAGAAGCTGCAGGCAATAAGAATTCGCTTTTGCACGCTGCATTAAAAAACCCTTCTTGGTTGGAAAGGTTCGTTACTTTAAACACGCTTTTTAACTGCGCTCAACCTTAAATGTCTTTGTTTATGCCATTTTGCGTGGAGATTTTGCCCGGATTTTTAATTGCATAAATATTCACCTTTTTAAGTAACTATACTGCATAAATGCATGTTGTGTGTAAAAAAAATTTGATATAAGTTTTTTAATAAGTTTTAATGTACCATAAAAGTCGGCCAGGCTATTGCAAAGAATCATTTTGCGTCACTTCAAGTTTGAGGCTTGTTTTGACGTAAATTCATATTTCCTGATTAACAGATTTTAATTTTACAGATTATAAAAATAAACTATGAATATACGCTATGTCTATACCCGAAAGAGGGCTGATTTTGGAAAGCAGTGCAATTTCTCTGACCGTGCTTCCGAAATACACGCTGATATTCCACCAAATCCGGAGTTAGCTGAAAAATTTATCTTAAGAAATCCTGTTTCTCGCGGTATTCAGCATGCAAGTGAAATGTCAGAACATGAAGTTAATACGGAGCGCGTTTTATCCGAGGTTCGAGGTATCAATCACACAGAAGGTGGATGGCCAAAAGATGTTAATTATAACGAACCTGAACAAGTTCAACGATATAGGAAAAAGATTGAAAAAGACGAACTTTATACAGTCACGCTTCATGCTTTAGCCAGCGTAAGAAAATTGCGAAATATGTGCGTTTCTTAGTCAGTTGAACACTGCATTAAGCAAAATAATGCACTGAATATCTATGAAGAATATTTCAATGACATTGATTATGATGCTTCTGAAGAACCGCCCTCAGCAAGAATTGTAAATGTTTTTCGGTAGACCCCAAATCACTTGTGTTGTAAGATTTTAGTGACATAAATGATATCAAGCGGACTGCAGCTTATGTTAGCTGGTTCCCAGAGGGACCAACTAAAATTGCCGTTGCATATAGCAACATTGGCTTTTTGGAAAATGGTGCAGATGTATCCACGGACTCCTACATTTGGGATTTCTCAAATCCAAACAGACCAGACTTAGTTCTTTCCCCTCCTTCATCTCTAGTTTGTGTTGAATTTAATCCAAAAGACTCGCATACTCTAGTGGGAGGATGTCATAATGGACAGTTATGTGAGTTTACAAATTTTGTAGGTCGCATTCACCATCAATCCAGAAATCCACTTTAGATAATCTTACTACATTGAGTTACGATCCATTCTCTAATACGTGAGCCATCCCAGAGGTTAGCACCCCTAAAATTACGTTTGCCATAAACAAGAAAATGAACTGGACAAAAAGCCGCTTAGGCAGCATGAAAACGACGTCATGTGGTGATCAAAAAGTAGTATAGCTTGTTAGTTTCACTGTTAGCAATTAAGAGGCCTTTTGAATATCTCGGCCTCCGTTAGGTGCACTGTACCGGAGAAGGACTCATTTTTACATTATCGGTAGAGACTGGACTATGCTCGGGTACAACCATAGTCCAGGAACACACGACTATTCCTGTCATCAGATAATAGATGTAAATTGCTTGATGTATTGGAAAAAGTCTGTTTCTTTCTAATCATTTCGCAGATCTCAAGTTTAAAGTAAATTTAGAAGGTACCCGCCTTCGGTGGCATTTCGGCATAACTGGTTTGGATTTTTGAAATAAAGCATCATCAGTAGGGGTTTACTTAGAGCATTTCTACGTCACAGACAGCAATTTGTGGTTTGGATACTCCTTTACCAATCGCTTAACTTAATAACGTCTATGAGGAAGAGGCCAGAAAGCCGTTATCTGGGCCAAACTTTTATGTAAATTGGTATTTAAAAAGTATACCGCAGGCCATTCTTTATGGGAAGTTTTATTGGTTATTTGTAAACTTTGTGTAGGGATAGGGAGTCACTCAGTTTCAGGGGCTCTCTATTTGTTCAGCCATAAAGGGGGCTTTTGCCTTATCTCCGGTCTAGATCTTGCAAATACATGTCAAATTCATGACTGTTATTTGTCTGGACCAGGCCAGCCTATTACTGCAATCAATACAGAGGTCGGAATCATTTATGAGGCAGTAGTGAAGCTTATCATTCAAAAATTTTAAACCCATCAATTCTACCAAATAAGACTTTGAGCAATACATTAGTTTCTTATTGGACATATATGCATATTATATACTGGCTGTAATAAGGTCTTTGGGATCGTCGTAAGGGCTCCCTTCCGGCCGAACTCTCACCAGTCGAAAACAGTCATAGGGACCCTGCCTGGCAAGTAATCTGGATTCAATCTAAGACGGGCACCGAGTTTTTTTCCGCCAGCACCGACGGTCAAGTGCTGTGGTGGGATGTGCGTAAGATGAATGAGCCTACCGAAATCCTCTATTTGGATCCTACAAAGAATCAGGAACTCAATTGTTCTGTTGGCGCCTATGCCCTAGAATATGAACCCACTATTCCCACCAAATTCATGGCTGGTACGGAACAGGTATGACTATTCCAGTGTCTAACATATCCACCACGTGTATCGGGTTCTCTTCCAGAACCATATAATAATTCTTTTAGGGGATGATAATTTCTTGCAATAGAAAGGGAAAATCTCCTGCTGAGAAGGTGGCTGCAGTGTTTTCAGGACATAAGGGACCTGTTTATGCGTTGCAGCGAAATCCCTTCTTCACCAAGTTTTTCCTCTCCGTGGGTGATTGGTCAGCTCGTATTTGGTCGGAGGATATGAAAGACGACCCCATAATGTGGACGCCCTACCACGATTCGGGTGGGTTAGGTTTACTAACTTGTAACCTTGGGTCTACCTTCTTTGACAAGTAAAGTGACTGTGATGCTTACTTATTGTAGGAGCTACTGATGGACGCTGGAGTCCAGTTCGTCCGGCATTGTTTTTTATGACAAGATTGAATGGATGTCTGGAGATTTGGGACTACGTCTTCAAGCAGCGCGAACCTGCGCTAACTATCAAGGTAGGGTCTACTCTATCACGGAAGGATCTGAAATAAAATGCCGGTAGTAGATGGCAGACGCAAGAATGTAATCATGTGAAGACAGCCAACTTTGCCTGTGGTTTGTGGTTAAACCCCATAAACGTTTATTTTACATGGGCAAGCAGATTTGAAAATATGCATTAAAAATCTCTGATGAAAAAGTTTTTTGAGGATTTATGGATTGTGGGATAAAAGTTCTCATAGTTATGATGAAATTAGCCCACCTACAAAAAGGGTTAGGTTCTAGACCCTCATTCGAAACCTACTACTTATTTCACACTCTCTGTTTAGATAGTTCAAGCGCAAACTTATCATTTCCCCCACCAAATTATTAGTCCAAATTGTTTTTCCACAATGTTAATACACCACAAATCTTCCATAGTTTTTGTTCAAGAATAAATTTACTGCTCTGTACCATTACACACCCTTGAACATTCTCTTTTTGATGAAAGACCATCCATATCTTATCGCGTTCCCTGTCTATTCATAAAAGTATTTCAGCACTCTGTTTACTTTATAGTCTACGTTATTTACGTCTCCCATTCCTTATCATAGGTCTCGGATGATTCACTTCACTGTGTCCGAGTCAACGAAGAGGGTCAGCTAGTCGCCGTAGGCTCTCATTCCGGGGTTACGACCATCCTTGAGCTGTCTGACGGTTTCACTACTGCAGCCAAGAACGAGAAGGCCACAGTGGGCGCCATGTTCGAACGGGAGACACATCGCGAGAAAATCCTTGAAACGCGAGCCAAAGAACTGCGAGTGAAGGAGAAACAGCGTGCCATGGCAGAGGCAGCAGCTGCAGGAGCTCCACCAGTTTACACTCAGGGCTCACGACCATTTGAAGGCGCTACTGAAAATGCGGAGAAGGCAGAGAAGGCAGAAGTGGCGGATGGGGAGACGTTAGTGAAGGTTAGCTTAATAGCCGATCACATAATAAGAGGTATTTCACCAAAATACTAGTCGCAAAAAATCCTGCAAATTCCACACATTGGAAGGAAACCTTTTCTTGTAGCATTATGAGGAACAAATCAATTAAATTCAATTTTATGCAAAGTCCTAGAGAATAATTAATGACTGAAGCCAATAAAATTTGAGACTGGTCAATAATAGGCACCACAGTCTCTAAAAAAATATGTCAAAACTGTTTTGTTTTCTAATGCTGATTCTGTCCAACAAATATCCATTGTTCCAAAAAATTAATCAAAATCTCACTGTACCTATTAAATACCGGATTGCTGGTACGATTAAAAAGCGGGGAATCCCAGATTTAATCCCCTTGTCATCA